AAGAGCAGCCAGTGCTCTTAATCACTGAGCCATCTCTCCAGCCCCAAAAGTTGGGCTTTCTCTTTGTTTTATTTTGTTTATGGTTTTCTTTTAAGACAGGTAGCCCCAGCTGCCCTAAAGTTCACATGAATACCAAGCTGGCCTCAATCTCACAAAGATCCGCCTGCCTCTGCCTCCCAGTTCTGTGGTTAAAGTCATGCTCCATCATGTCCAGCTGGGTTTTGATCATAAGTGCAAAAGGAATTAGATGTGACTAGTCACCAAATATAATTGTTGCATTGACCCACCTAGAAAAAGTGATTTGAATTTTGTTTTAGGGGAAGCAGTTTTGTAACCTGAAATTTCCTTTTTTCTTCTGTTTAAAATGACATCAAATCACTCTATTATAGTGTCATTTAACATACAGACTATTGCTATACATAAAGTATGTTTTTAATTTTAAAAAAAAATCACAAAAGGGGCTGGAGAGATGGCTCAGTAGTTAAAAGCACTAACTACTCTTCCAGAGGACCTGGGTTTGGTTCCCAGCACTCACATGGCAGCTCACACCTGTAACTCCAGTTCCAGGGTATCCAAAGCCCTCTTCTGGTTTCTGAGGGCATTTTACACACACGTGGTGCACATTAACTCATGAAGGCACACAGATACTGTGGCCATGGGCGGGGAGGTGGGGGTCAGCCATGGGACCTGAATGGATTGCCATGGAAATGAAAATAAAGCAGGGGACCCAGGGCTTCCCGCAGCTGAGTGCTGATTGTATCAGCAGCTCGGCTTTTACTCTCATACTCATTAGAGCTACAGTACAGCCGAATGTTTACAGAACAGCAAACAATAATAAAGTGGCCAGAACATAGCAGTTCAGCAAAATATAATGAACAAGATAACATTATCTTCACAGTGTGCCTTCTTGGGAGATCAAAGTGTCTCTTGAGAAGCTACGGGAGCACCAGCATTCAGGAGATAACTCCCCAGAAAGCATTCTTGCATAAACTTTCTCATGAGACACAGGGCTCTCCAGACATACATGCTCAAGGTTCAGCTTAATTTACCAACCATATTTTTAAACCCACAGAAATATTATTTCACTCCCTTTAATATACTTAATAAATTTAAAAATAACTATTTTAAAAACACTTAAAACAATTGGGCAAGCAAGATGGCTCAGCAGGTTAAGGTGCCTGCCACCAAGTCTGATGACCTGAGTTCCATCCCTGGGACCCACATGATAGAAGGAGAGAACTGACTCCCACAAGTTGTTCTCTGACCTCTATACATATACTGCAGCATGCATGACCACACACATATACACACACATAAAATAAAATTATAGGGAGTTACAGGCCAGCAGTGCTACATAGTGAGACCCTCCCTGCCTCAAAAAACAGAGAGAGGTGGGGGTGGGGGGAAGAGAGAACAATTTCCAATCATCTAGAAGGCTCCCTCACATCCCCTCCCAGTTTGTACCCCTTAAAGGCTAGACCTTGTCCCCACTGTTAGCACTGTCAGCTGGCTTTGCCTCTTAACCAGGCACATGGAATCACACAGCTTATATGGTCTTTGTTTATTTTTGGTTTTAGAAACAGTCTCTTGGGGCTGGAGAGATGGCTCAGTGGTTATGAGCACTGACTGCTCTTGCAGAGGACCTGGGTTCTGTTCCTAGCGCCCACATGGCAGCTGTCTATAACTGTCCATATCTCCAGTTCCAGGGGATCTGATGCCCTCTTCTGGCCTCCATTGCATGCATGATGTGGTGCACTTATATGCATGCAGGCAAAACACTCATACACATAAAATAAAAATAAATGGATATAGTGGTAAATGCCTTTAGTTTCAGCTCTCAGGAGGCAGAGGCAGGCAGATCTCTGTGAGATAGAGGTCAGCCTGGTCTACATAGGGAGTCAGCTGGGGCTATAGGGAGACTCTGTCTCAAAAACACCAAGAAAGAGAGAGAGAGAGAGAGAGAGAGAGAGAGAGAGAGAGAGAGAAGGAAGGAAAGAAGGAAGGAAGGAAGGAAGGAAGGAAGGAAGGAAGGAAGGAAGGAAGGAAAATCAAAATTAAAAAAAAAAGGAGCAGTCTCTTGTATCCCAAGATGGCCTCAAACTCCCTGCGTAGCTGACGATGGCCTTGAGCTCCGGGTCGTACCTGTTTGTGGCTTTTTCTCACGAAGCATAAGCCTAGGAGGCTGACCCTTGTGACTGCACCAGCTCTGTTTTGGTTTTAGAGGACAATTCAAAGCAAAACTCTCCTTAGATCAGCAAAAAGTTAAACTTGCAAGTTTTAGTATAAAAATTCCCTAATTCTTGTGTGTATCAGGAAATTCAGCATTGTGAGTTTTCTTTGTCACACCCTGTGTTTGTAACGGACAAAACTTCAGGCTCCTCCATGGGAGGCTGTGAGCAGTTAGAGTCAGGGTTGACAGTTTCCTAGCCCCTCTCAGCATCGGAAGTCGGAAGTCGTTCCCTTGCTCCCTCTGCAGCCTCTGGGCTTGACATGGGAGGACCTTGATCCTTCCCCTGTCACCTCCGGTGGCCTGGGGAACCTGGGGGGCCTGGGGCAGGTGGTAGAGCAAGAGGGGAGTTGTGAGGGGATGTGGGGGGTGTCCAGAATGGATCAGGGGAAAATGGCTATGAACGTCAAGTCCCTAGGAGTTAGAGAACATGGGTCTCTGGTCAGTGCTTTTTGCTTTTACATCTGCAGCTGCTGGCTTTTCTGACTTTGAGGATTTCTTGGGTGGTTCCTCCAACTGGTCCCCAAAGTTCTGGCCCCAGGGATGCAAGCTCAGGAGCTTATAGTTTAACTGACTTGCCAAAGTTCATAGCTTTACTAAGTGCTGATTTTTGAAGCCAAGTTGGTCAAGATCAAAGCTGTGCCTGGGGCCTTTGGGGACAGCCGGGGCTTGGAAAGCTCCTCTGTTTGCACACCTGAGAACACTCAAGCAGCTGTGCCCTTCCCAGCTTCCTTAGCCAGGCTCGGGAGACCTCTTCGTAGCCAGGGTTAGGGACTACTGCTTACACATGATCTTGGCCGGGTGTGGGAAGTCTTAACTAAAGAGGCTTATTCTTTTCTTTTTCTTTGAGATAGGGTCTTCCTATGTAGCCCAGGCTGAGTGGGGCTTGAACTCAAGATCCTCCTGCCTCACTGTGTTCTGGGATGGAGCATAGGTAGGCACCATGATGCCCAGCTGGTATGCAGCCTTGATAATGCAACTACAGATGCTAATTGGGTCACTGGAGAGGAACCTAAGAGCTCTGAAATGTTTCTTTCAGGTAAGTCTCTGAAATAGGGAGGAGAGTAGTCCATCAGAGAACACACACACCCAGTCCTTAAAGGGGCCTGCAAGGAAAGTGCAGGGTGGCAGCTGTGACCCCCTCAGCACCGAAGCCTCCCACTGCCAGACATCCGAGCTACGGCATGGGGGATGCTGGGGTCTGGGGGATCCCCAGCTAGGTGAGGCCAGATGCACCTAGGCCATAAACACCTTAGGTTCCTCTCATGCCTCATCCTAGTCCTGTCCCAGAACTCAGGTCACTAGCACTCCTAAGCTCTTCACATACGGCATGTGTAAATGTAAATACATTTCAATAATTCCATATGATATTAACATAGAGTTCCTCTCATGCCTCATCGTGTCCCAGAACTCAGGTCACTAGCACTCCTAAGCTCTTCACATATGGCATGTGTAAATGTAAATACATTTCAATAATTCCATATGATATTAACATAGATATAGCACACATAGATGCATATTCTATCCACCCTTTAAATTACCCTCAGTTTACAGAAGACTGAGCCCAAAAGGTTACATAACTCACCCAGCTGATAATCTGTGCAGCTAGCTACCTGTTCAGGGTCTACAGTTTTTTTTCTTTATTGCTACTGGGGAATCAAACCCAGGGCCTTGAGCATAGCAGGCAAATGCTTTGCCACTGAAGTACCCAGCCCCAGAGTCTGCAGACCTAACCATAATGTGATAGTGTGTGTTATCACTTGGGCACACACAGGGCCGCCAGGTGTTTTGGCCGCCATCTTATCAGGACCCTCCCCCAGCAGACAGGCCACAGCTGCGCCTCTGCTCGTGGCAGGCCCTCTGGGGTATAGAAGGAGGGTCACATGTAGATAGGGCCCCTTTAAAGGCCCACCACCTCAGTAGGTGCTTGCCTTCCACCATCTGACCTGCCAGCTGCCAGCCACGCCAGCTGTACCAGTCACCATGGAGAAGGCCCTTGTGCTTCTGCTCCTGGCCCTTGTGGCTGTGGCCTATGCAGCTCCCGGCCCTCGGGGAATTGTCATCAACCTGGTAAGTGGGTGGGGTCTCCTGGGGAGGAGCCGTCTGAGTACTGAGGTGGGATTTTGTAAGCTTGGCTCTTGACCTCTGACACCCCCAGTTAGGGTATCTCTTCCTAGGGTGCCCCAGGAGAGGTAGAAGGGCAATGACAAGCTCCATCTGGGTCGTGCACACAAGATCAGCCCGGCCTGCTGGGAGGGTGCTCAATACAAAGCCAGAGCCCTACCCTTTAGGGAACCCTGGCTGAGACGGTCCCATGGTTTAGAAAGCTCTGTCTGATCTCAACCCTCCCATGACACATTTCTGTGTGTCACAGTTCTGAATGTCTCAGGAACGTGGGTCCATTTAGCCCTCATAAGGCCACAGAGAGCCAGGGTATTTTCATCTGCCAGTGCTGAGTGGAGACGGGGGAAGCCCAAGCCCTGGAAGCTTGAGATCAGGGGGGCTGGGACTGCAACCTACTGCTGTGACCCACATGCCTTCCCACCATGCCTTGCCACACATACATAGTGACTCCAGGGGCAAATTCTTACTCTGACCTCAAATGAGCTTGGGGTGGGGGTGGAGTGGTGTCCAGGATAGCCCTGTGTAGATGCCTGTAGGGCAAGGGTGGAGTCGAGCATCTTCACGTGTTCACTGGCCTCTCAAAGGAGTGGGGGGACCAGGCCTGGCAATGTGAGACTGAGGCAGGAGGATCACAAGGTTGAGGCCAGCCTGGGCTACATAGTTGAAAGACATCTCTCTCTCTCTCTCTCTCTCTCTCTGTCTCTCTCTGTCTCTCTCTCTCTCAGTGAGTGACGGAGAAATATGGAGGCCCTTTCTTTTAGAGGCACCTATTCCATAGAGCCCAAGGGGACTGGCAAGGTCATCCAGGGATTGGCAGTCTTGGCAGTACTAGGACCCAAAGTCTCCACCCCCTAGCCCAGGGAGGCTTCTGTGCCACCCACCTCTCCTCACATGAGTGGGGCCCAGAGGCCACCAGACCCATGGGCAGGGCTCCTTCACACATACCCCACCAAGGAAGGTGCTGTCAGTGGCGCTGGGTGGGGTGGGTGTCAGTGGGGAGCACGGGAGGGTCCCAGGCTGATGGGCTGTCCCCTCAGGAAGACGGTGAGATCTGCTTGAACAGCGCCCAGTGCAAGAGTGGATGCTGCCAACATAACACCATCCTGGGCATCCTGCGCTGCACAGCCAAGTCCAGAGAGAACAGCGAGTGCTCCCCACCGGTGCGTGCCGGGAGCTCCCAGGAGGATGGCCTAGAGGCTTGGGGACGTGGGGGCTCTGCCTGGACTTTGAAAGTTGGAGTGAGGAGGAGTGGTCTATAGGGTCAGGACATCAGCCCATCCCTCCTGACTCACAACTGACTTTGAGACCGGGGTGGGGGTGGGGGTCTGTTCCCATTTCACAGGTGGTTAAATACAGCCCCCACCCCAGATCAAGTTGGTAAGAGTCAGTGGAGACAGGATCCTAGGGCTCCCGGGCCCACAGCGCCCCTGGCGGGTTGTCTGAAAAGCACTCTGAATACCCCCGCCAGGGGACGTCCAAGGTCCCAGTCTGCGATCCTGCCGCCTTTCTCTCCGCAGACCCTCTATGGGATTTACTACACGTGTCCCTGTGAGCGGGGCCTGTCCTGCGAGGGGGACAAGAGCATCATCGGTACCATCACCAACACCAACTACGGCATCTGCCTGGATGTCGCCCGCTCCAAGGAGTGAGAGCACCTGGCACCTCCCCCTTCCTCCTCCACCTGCCCCATGTCATCCAGCATCCAACTTGGCAATTAAAGCTTGCCTGCAACCTTCCCCGCCTCCAGCCTCTCCTTGCTGCCTCAGCAGGGACTCCATCAAGCCTGTCTACCAGGACCAGAAGCAGGAGAGAGGGGACTGGGGTCAAGGTGAACAGATGGGACTAGAGACAGGCATGTGAAGCAGGCTCACCTAGCTGGGCGGGTCTCCCTATTCTGTGGCAAGCAGTCGCCCCTATGAGAACTGCCCTCATCGTTCCCTGAGCTCCCCAAGACAGGCAGGCAGGTGCAGGCAACATGGGCTCTGGTGGCAAGTTCCAGGGCTCTGACCCATGGAGATCAGTCAGGCCAGCCAGTCCCCTGTCCTGGGTCTAATCCCTGACAATTGCTGTGGACTTCTTCCCAAAAAATCCTCTGTGATGCTGGGAGGGAGAAGATCTACTTCATGGATAAACAGTTTCAGAGAGTTTAAGGCAGTGCTCAATATCACATAAGTCCACCCCTTTTTAGGGTTTCCTGTTCTTTCCCAATATTTACACCAAGAAAAGTGAATGGGAATTATAAAGAATTAAGCTTTTGCTTAATATAAAATTACATTCCCCCAGGAGCCGCCAAACACGAATTTAGGACCAGTAAAATGGCTCAGCATGTAAAGACACTTGCTACCAAGCCCAATGACCTCAGTTTGATGATCCCTGGGACACACATGGTGGAAGGAGAGAATCGATTCCCAAAAGTTGTCCTCCAACCTCCACACAAGAGCTAGGGTGAACGTGCCCAGACACACACACACACACACACACACACACACACACACACACTAACAATAAGCAGGAAAAAATAAAGCGCTAGCAAAATAATTATACACACACACACACACACACACACACACACACACACACACACACACACGCAATGAATAAATAACTAAATAAATGTGATTTTAAAACACTAGTATTATAATTATGCAGCAGTGAGGTACCTGTCTCCACAGAAACCAAAAACAAGCTCACCAACTCCTGGGTGGGATGCTGGGAAAGAGAGTTGCCCGAAGGATGGCTTATGGCAGCTCAGGCCTCCCTGTCCCACAGCTCTGTCTGTAATTTTGGGATGAAGGAAGCCTCTAAAAACCATGGTCTTCTGAGTTAGAACTGCATTAGGCTGTAAGCAGCCCCAAGTCAAAGCTTACCTAGACAGAGGCGTGTAGATCTCCAGAGGTCCAGAGACAGCAGGTTCTGGTGTGTGTTTGATAGCTTAGCAACCACCCTGAACATCACAGCCTTTCACCATATTCTGAAGCAGGGAGGTAGAGAATGGACAGATCGTCCTTCTTGCTGCCCCCTCCTTGCCTTTCCTAAAAGCCTCTAGGCAGACTTTCTTCATCTCACATGGCCACAACTGGGTCACCTAACCAACTCTAGCTGCAAGGGAGGCTGAACAGCTGTGACTGCCTAATTGTGATTCCTCTTCTAGGGCTGGGCATGCTGCCGCTCAAACAACAGCATGGGTTCTAGCTAGCAAGAATGGAGGGCAATGCGTGGGGGTGGGCAGAGCAGCACCTGCCACACATGAGTTGGTGCCCAATGCAAGGGGCTTTCAGTACCTCTCCTACAGCTGGGGAGGGGCGGGGGCAGGTCCAAACAAGCAGGGATCACACTCAGCCTTGAGAGAGAACCACAGTCATGCTTCTCCATATATCTAGACAGACCATGGTGTTCACAGTGTTAGGCTCTGGGAAACTTGAGGAAAACATCTTTGGTGTCCAGGAGTGAGTAGGGAATTGGGCTCTACTGAAGCAAGAGACCCACACAGCAACCTTCCATTTCCCTCATTAAATCCTTTCAAATTGAAATACCCAGAATGGTTCTTATTTATCTGCACTGAATCTGAGAAATTCAAGCTTGCTTGAAAAAAAAGGGAGTGGTGTTTTGTCATTGTGGCTGTTTGAACACACCCTTCTCCCACCAAGACTGAGACCCAAATAGCCACCTGTTCTGGAATTCATGTAAAGATATCCCAGCTACTGAGATGGCTGAGCAGGTAAAGGTGCTTGCTGTCCAGGCTGAGGAGCTGAGTTCGACCCCCGAGCTCCACATGGCAGAAGGAGAGAACCAATTCCTTCAAGGTGTCCTCTGAACTTCACACGTGCAATGCAGCACAACTATGTGCAAAAGTAAATAAAACGTTTTGTTTTGCTTTGTTTTGTTTTAAAGCTGTCCTGGGACTAGAGAGATGGCTCAGTGCTTAAGAGTGCTGGCAGCCCTTGTAGAGAACCCAGGTTTAGTTCCTAGCACCTACATGGTAGCTAGTAACCATCCATAACTCCAGTTCCAGAGGATCCGACACCCTTTTTCTGGCTTCCACAGGTGTTGCATGACACAGGTACACTTACATACATGCAGGCAAAACACTCATACACATAAAATAAAAATAAATAAATAAATAAATAAAAACACTTTTATGCTGCCCAGTGAGATCCTTGTCACTTCCTTCAATGTAACAGTCTGGTCTCAGGAGCTCTCTGTCTTCTGGTAACTTCTTTCTAGATCTGCTAGAAACTCAGTACAGGGAGAGGGAAGTTTGCAGCCTTGCACCCAATAAAATAGAACAAAACAAAAAGCCCTAGTGCTGGGTCTTATGGGCCCATGCTGTCTGTTATAGAGCGAGGGGTTGGCTGCCTAGGGCCACCAAGCCCTGGAAATAGGCCCATCTGAACAGAAAAGAGCGTATAATACAAAATGGATATTGAAGACTTGTTACCAAAAAGAGAATGTGGGGCTGGCAAGATGGTTCATTGGGTAAAGGAGCTTGCTGCCAAGTCTGATGACCTAAGTTCAATCCCTGAGTCCCACATGGTTAAAGGAGAGAGCAGACTTCCATGGGTTGTGATAGGTAAAAAGTAGCCAGAGAATGGATAAAATTGATGGGGGCGCGGGAGCAGAGGAAGCACCAAGACACAGATAAAACTCTCAGGAGGATAGAGTTTTATTTCGCAAGGAAAATGTCATCCCACAGCAGCCCACGGATTGTGAGCTGGGGCTTTTATAAGGGGGCTTCTGGGTGTAGAAGGCGGGAAGTTTTTTTGGAAAAAATTAGGCGGGGGAGGGGGGGAGAGGGGCAGGAAAAGCAGGCCTTGTAAACTCAGCTCAGTTCTGTCTGCCAGCCGGGATCTGGGTCAGGAAGTGTTTATTTTTGTCCTCTTAAGATAAGGGAAAGCTGCTGCACTAAAGCGGCTCCTGAAGTCTCTGGTTAACAGGTGGAATCTGTTTATCTTGTCTTCAGAGATCAAAGGAAAGGCAGGCTGCCTTTTAGAAGAGTCTGCTTCCCCAAACTGCAAAGACCAGGGTGCTTATCAACTCAGTTCCCTTTTCTCAGGAGCTTGCGAAGTCCGAAGTCCATGAGACCCTGTTGGAGACGGGGAGGGCTGCTGTGGTTTGAAACCCTAAGAGGTTGTCCTCTGATTGCAGTTACGTGTGCCCATATACACATATTCATTCACATAAATAGATAAATAGATGTAAGACAAAATTTTAAGATGATATATAAATCTCAAATTCTAACTGACTCCTGGGAGTACCGTTTTGGTTAGCTCTCCTATATTCTGAATGAAAATGTCATTTTTCTTGCTAATATGTTTTCATTTATGCAGTGTTGGGATCAAACACAGAGCTTTGTCATTACACAACCCAGGCTGCCTTCAAATTCTAGATCCTCCTGCCTCAGACTCCCAAGGGCTGGGATTATAGACTATGCCATCACACCTGCTACATCGGTTTCCAGTGGTATTTCTTCAGTGGTTAATGACAGTGCACACCTTTCATAAACCCAGGGCCATTTTATGCCTTCTTTGGAAGAATGTCTATTCTGGTCTGTAATGCACATCCTTTGGTAACTTATCAGGTGCTGTTTGAGCTCCCTGAGAAGCTGGCTCTGGAAGTGAGGTTGGTCCCCTCCACGTCAGACCCAAGCATTCTTGTGTCATGTGACCTCCAAAACACCCTGTCCTGGGTCAGGCTGGTCCCTTGGCTCTGTAACAGAAAGAGGTAATCCCAGCACTTAAGGTATTGAAAACACGGTGCTTAGGAGCTGGAGAGATGGTTCAGTGGGTAAGAATGCATACTGCTCTTGCAGAGCACCCAGGTTTGGTTCCAAGCATCCCCATTAGGTGGCTCACAACTGCCTGTAACTCCAGTTCCAGGGGATCCAACACCCTCCTCCATGGGCACCTGCACACACACACAATTTAAAAGAAAATAAATAGCTGGGCGTGGTGGCACACACTTTTAATCCCAGCACTCAGGAGGCAGAGGCAGGTGGATCTCTGTGAGTTCAAGGCCAGCCTGGTCTACATAGTGAGTTCCAGGACAGCTGGGGCTACAGGGAGACCCTGTCTCAAAAAGACCAAAAAAATAAAATAAATAAATAAATAAATATGAAAAAAAAAAAAACATTGTGCCTTTGAGAACAACTAGAAAGTAAATGATTTCCAACCATTCTTTCTATTGTTTACCCCGTAAGTATAAGATTGCTCATGATGGAAACAGAAGCCAGAACTTATCCTTGGAAAAAACACTCTGCTCTGCAGGAACTCTGGGGTGGGAACTCCAGGGTGCCGTTCACCAGGGTTCCCCTAGGCGGTCCTGCTGTATGGGGTGGCGAGGCGATGACGTCATCTCTATCCTCTGCTATCTGTTCTTTACTTGGAAGCCTCACCCAAGGGGACACCCTGCTTTGCCCCAGACCCTAGGGGAACTTCAGTTGTTGGGCCTCCCCAGCCAGTTTCTGCTGGATGTGACCATGTTTTGCTGTCCCCCACTGCTTCTCTCTACCTGATTCTCTTGTTTATTCCTTTATTTTTGCCTACTGTATACATAATAAATTCTCTCACTCAAAACAGAAAGTACGGCTAGGTGTGGTGGCACATGCCTTTAGTCTCAGGTCTCAGAAGGCAGAGCCTGGTCTACATAGTGAGTTCCAGGCTGGCCAGGGCTACATAGCCTTTTTTTTTTTTTAAAGAAATTTATTATTTATCTTTTCTTTGTGTAAGAATGTTATACCTCTGTGTATATAAGTGTACCCATGTCATGCAGTGCTCACAGAGATCAGAAGACAGCATCAGATCCCCTGGAACTGGAGTTACAGACAGTTGTTAGCTACCATGTGGATCTAGGATTCAAACCCAGGTCTTCTTCAAGAACAGTCAGCGCTCTTCCGCTCTTAACTGCTGAGCCATCTCTCCAGCCCCAAGGGCTACATAGTCTTTTTTTTTTTTTTTTTTTTTTTTTTTTTTTTTTCTTTTTGAGACAGGCTCTCCCTGTAGTCCCAGCTGTCCTGGAACTCACTATGTAGACCAGGCTGGCCTTGAACTCACAGAGATCCGCCTGCTGCTGCCTCCCAAGTGCTGGGATTACAGGCGTGCACCACCACACCCAGCTTAATAGTTTATTTTTATGTCTAAGTATTTTGTCTGCATGTGTGTAAGTGCACCACATGTGTGCAATGCCTGTAGAGGCCAGAAGAAGGTGTTGGGTATCTTGGAACTGTAGTTATAGACAGTTGTTAACCACCATAATGGTGCTGGGAATTGAACACAGGTCCTCTGCAAGAGCAGCCAGTGCTCTTAACTGCTGAGCCAGCTCTCCAGTTTTGCTTTTTTTTTCTTGAGACAGGGTCTCATTATGAAGTCCTGGCTGGCCTGGAACTTGCTATATAGACTAGCCTCACCTTGGACACACAGAAATCTACCTGCCTCTGCCTCCCAAATATTGCAATTAAAGACATGAGCCACTACGCCTGGCTACTCTTGAGCTCTTAAATCATGAGCCCCACATGCCAAGGGACACACTGGCCAGTTCTCAAGGAGGAGTGTTTAAGCAGAGGTGTGGTGAGTTTCAAGTAGTCAACTCCAAAATGTGATTCAAACCTGGCAGGGCTGTATTCAGGCCTTGTAGAGGCTGTGCTTTGCACAAACAAGCTCACATCAGACTCTAAATGCTTCTCAACACACAGCATAACTGCTGGGGATGTGGCTCCATTCGTGATAGAATACTTGCCTAGAATATGCAAGGCCCTGGGTTCTATCCTTGGCAGGAGACTTCCCATGCTTTTCTGGACCCACGCTCTCCCCTGATACTGCACACTAGGTCCCTCTCCTGCTCTTCTCTTGGCTGTCTTTCTTTCTCTCTTATCCCTCCCTTCTCTTTTTGGCCTTCCAAAAGATGCAGAAGCACAACTTTGGAACCCTGTGACCTTACACAAATTGCTCGATCCCTCTCAATTTCTCCACCAGGAAAAGAGAGGTGATCGCAGTGCAGTCCCTGTGTAGTTTTGCAGGATCAAGGTGTGGTGGCGTGTACCAGCAGTACCAGCCAATTCGGAGGCTGAAGCAGAAGGGTCATTTGAGCCCAGGAGTTTTAGACCAGCCTGGGCAATATAGTGAGACCCCCGCCTCAAAGAGAGGAAGTGGGGAAGAGAGACAAGAGAGAGAAATCACAAATGTAAGATATGAAAAGCTCCTTGTCCAGGGCCTCGAACTCACAAAGCTCTGAATGGTACCCCTGCCTCAAAGAGAGGAAGTAGGGAAGAGAGAAAAGAAAGCGAAATCACAAATGTAAGATATGAAAAGCTCCTTGTCCAGGGCCTCGAACTCACAAAGCTCTGAATGGTGGGATTAAAGGTGTGCCAACCACTCCAGAGACACATATAAAAATAACTTTTTTTTTATGTGTGTACGTGTATTGCCTGCATGTAGGTAAGTGCACCTGTGTCATGCAATGCCCACAGAGGTCAGAAGAGGCTGTCGGATCCCCTGGGACTGGAGTTTTGGACAGTTGTTAGCTGCCACGTGGGTGCTGGGATTCGAACCCGGATTTTTTAAGACAAAGTTTCACTATGTAGCCCTGGTTGGCCTGGAATTTGCTATGTAGACCAGACTGGTTTCAAACTCACAGAGCTCTGTATGCCTCTGTTTTCTGAGACCTGGGATTAAAGGCATATACCACCAGGCCAGACCAGCAAATCTTTCCTTTCAAGATTTTATTTTATTTTTTTTATTATTTTTATTTTATGTGTATGAGTGTATTGTGGGAATTGAACCCGGGTCCTCTGCAAGAGCAGTCAGGCTCTTGTCCACTGAGCCATCTCTCCAGCCCCTTATTTTTAATTATATGTGTGTCTGTGTGTGTGTGTATATATGTATGTGAGTACAGGTACCCATGATGGTCACAGGTGTCCCCCTGAAGCTGGAGTAACAGGTGTTTGAAGCTGCCTGATATGGGTGTTTGCAACTGAACTTGGTCCTCTATGAGCAACAAGTGATCTTAACCACTGATCCATCCTCTCTCCTGCCCCAGCAGTTCACATGGCAACCAGTGGATTTTTTAAAATTTATTTATTTATTTATTTATTTATTTATTTATTTAATGTAAGCGCACCATGTGCGTGCAGTGCCTGTGAAGGCCAGAAGAGGGAGTCTGGTTCCCCCAAAGCTGGAGTTAAAGGTGGTTGGTTATAAGCTGCTAGATGTGGGTGCTGAGAACTGACCTTGAGTCTTCTCTAAGAGCTCAAATACTCTTAACTGATAAATCATCTCTCTAGTTCTTTGGGGCTTTTCTGTTATTTTTATTTCATGTGTACAAGTGTATTGCCTGCATATATGTCATGCAGTGCCACAGAGGTCAAAAGAGGGCATCGGATTCCCCTGGAACTGGAGTTAAGGATGGTTCATAGCCGCCATGTGGGTGCTGGGAATCAAACCCAGGTCCTCTGCAAGATCAGTCAATGCACTTAACCACTGAGCCATCTCTTCAGCCCCTGGTTGTTTTGTTTTGTTTTGAGACAAGTTCTCACTATGTAGCCTAGGCTACCTTTGAACTCATTATGTAGCCCAGGCTGGCCTCAAACTTGTAGCATTCCCCCACCTTAGCCTCTTGAGTGCTGGGATTGTAGGCATGCTGCATGATGATGCCCAGCAAGTGGAGTTTTGCTTACACAACGTCTGCTGAGAGGGTTATCCTCTGTGAGGTCCAGGCCTCTAATGTCTTAGTTCCTGAGCAACTGTCAGGAGCAAATCAAGTATTTACTGGGTGCCCCACAGATGGTGAACTCTGCCCTGTCCCCCAGGTGCTTGCAGCTGATGACTCTATGGAAAGAAGCTATGAAAGATTTATCTCTGGCAAAACAGAACCTTCCATAGGGAACAGTGTGGGTGCAAAATGCTTCCATTTCCCTCACAAAGTGCAGACAGAGGCCACAGCCAGGAAGTGACTTTAATGCTCCGGAGCAGGATGTGTGGCAAACTGTGGGCACTGGGAGCAGCAGCCTGCATCTTCCTTTAAAACATCTGGCACCGGCGGGGACACATAGGGTCCTTGAACGAGCAGCTCAAACCGATTCGGCAAGGGCACATGATGTTCAGGGCCCCCTTGGTCTGCAGGAGCAGGGGAGAGTGTGAGGCACAGTCCTGGGTGCAGGAAGTAAGGGGCTAGCACTGCTTGGGAGCGGGACAAGCGCACCAGTAATGGTAGGAGACAGCGCCCTGATCTGAGGCTCCACAGCTCTTGACCCGTGCAGCCGAACAAGAGAGCAGCCTGCAGGACTCAGTTTCCTCCTCTGTCGGATAGGAAGTGAATAGTAACTGTTGCGATTAGTTTTTGTCCACTTGATACAACCTAGAGTCGTGGGTAGAGAAACCTCAATTGAACTGCCTGGATCAGATTGGCCTGTGGCTATGTCTGGGAGAGATTGCCTTGATGCTGGAGAGCTCAGCCCACTGTGGGCAGTGCTGTCCCTAGGCAGCTGGGCCTAAGCTGGATAGAACGGTGGTCTGCTTCAACTCCTGCTCCAGGTTCCTGCCTTGAGTTCCTACCCTGACTTCCCTCAGTGGTGGAGTGTGATGTGGGAGTTGTAAGATGGAATAAACTCTTTATCTCCACAAGTTGCTTTTGGTCAGAATGTTTATCATAGCAACTAGAACAGAAACCATTTCCTGGAGGTATTGGTAGGAGTAAGATAAAATATACAAGTAGCTCACAATAAAGAGCCCTCCAGTCACACCTGGCTGGTTCCTTCAGGCCCTGGCACTGATCCAGACAGGCATATGGAGACCAGGTCCATCCTTTCTAGAAGAGTTTGAGCCCGGGGCCAATCAACAGGAACAAAACATTCTGGGTCTTTCAGTTAAGGGCAGCCCACTTCAGTGAGCACAGTGAACTTTTCCCAACCACTCCCTGAGGTAGACATATTAATTAGCCCCACTTGATGGATGAGGAAACAAAAGGTCAGAGAGGTCCCCAAGACAGGAAAGCCAGGATGTAAGCTGGGGTCCCACTTGAAAGCCGAGGTCCTAGTCTTAGCAGCACCTTCAGCCTGGCAAGCAAACAGGTCACAGTGGCAAGGAGATGGGCATTAGGACGGGGGAGGGGGTTCTTCTCCTATCTCTCTCTTTCACCTCAGGGATGATAGGGAAGAGACAGTCATTCAACAAACATTTGTCAAGCATCTGCTCTGCGTGGTCGCTAGGCTGGCGGTGAGGCTTCACAGAGGAATGTGACTGAGTTCCAGCCCCTACCACCAGACAGGCGGACAGGCGGTATGTATCAACCTGCTGTGTCCGGCAGATAAGCCCAGAATTCAGGACCCTCAAAGAACTAAAGATGAGAAGTTTACCAGGTGTAGCAAGTGGAAGGGCACCCTAGGAAGAGGGGACAGAAGGCATGTGGTTTGGGGGTTTTTACCCCACCGCCCTCCGTACTTGCCCAAGTCTCACCTGAGGCAAGCATATCATGCCTATCCTGGATTTGGAGGTGCAGAAGGCTCCCTTCCTTTCTAGATCCATGAGGCAGCAGTCGCTGAGACACTCTGTGTTCTATCCTGTTCCCGTTGCCCCGAAGAGACAGTGCGTTAGTTGTTGATGCTGGAAACAGGGATCCAGGATGAGAAGCTTCAAGGCTGTCATTCTCCAGCCCCGCCCTTCACTGCACCCCTGTCCCAGGCAGCACTTGGTGGGGGACAAAAGAGTTAGGGGCTGGGCCTTTGCACTGTCCCTCTGTCTCCTCTTTCCTGCCCCACTCCACCTCCATGACTCCTCAGGATGTTGGGGAATAGTCTCAGATCATAGCTCAGATAGTAAGTGGGAGAGGATGGGTAGAAAAGGAGAGAAGAGGGGGTGACGAAATGGCTCTGTCAGTAAAGGTGTTTCTTGTGGGGCTGGAGAGATGGCTCAGCGGTTAAGAGCACTGACTGCTCTTACAGAGGACCTGGGTTTGATTCCCAGCACCCACATGGCAGTTAACAACTGTCTGTAACTCCAGTTCCAGGGGATCTGATGCCTTCTTCTGACCTTCATGGGCATTGCATGACACAGGTGCACTAACACATATGCAGGCAATATACTCATATACATAAAATAAAAATAATAAATAAAATATTTTTTTAAAGGTGCTTGTTGCCGGGTGTGGTGGCGCAGTACTTTAGTCCCAGCACTTGGGAGGCAGAGGCAGGTGGATCTCTGTGAGTTCAAGGCCAGCCTGGTCTACATAGTGAGTTCCAGGACAGCTGGGGCTACAGGGAGACCCTGTCTCAAAAAGACGAAAAAAAAAAAAAAAAAAGGTGCTTGTTGTATAAGCCTGGCAACCTGAGTTCTACCTCTAGGACCCATGTAAAGGTGGAAGGAGAGAACTGACTCCACAGAGCTGTCCTCTGACCTCCACGTACACATAATTAACTAACTAATTAACCCATCTGTCCATCAATAAATCAGTTTTTTAAAAGGTTGGGCATGGTGGCACATGCCTTTAATCCCAGCACTTGGGAGCAGAGGCAGGTGGATCTCTGTGAGTTCGAGGCCAGCCTGGTCTACAATGTGAGTTCCAGGCCAGCTGGGGCTACAGGGAGACCCTGTCTCAAAAAAATAAAATAAACACACAAAAGAGAAAATCCTTGTGACTACAAAAGTCTCTAAGCCCTGAAGGAGGCTGGGGAAGAATCAAGAAACAACAGGGAGGGAGGGCTTGGGGCAGTTGGGGAGAAACCATGAGCCCAGGTCTGAGACAGCAGGTCTTCAGGTCCAGGAAAGGTGAACGGAACCAAACCTGGGCTGTGAAGTATGTCTAGGGAGGCTGTGCTCCTGTTTTTCTCCTCCAGCTGCCTGGCATCCTCAGGCCCCACCCTGACACCTCAGGGGGTTTGCATCTGCTAACCTTTTTATGCTCCTGGATCTCACCGAAGCTGAGGACCCCCAAGAGGAGAGCAAGGGCAGCGGCCAAGGCCTGGGAGATGGCCATGGTCTGGGTTGTGTGGTGCTCAGGTGCTTCAGGGATAAGTCTTTGTTGCTGTGGGGGTGGCAGGCAGCCAGTGTGGGCACAATGGTCATAGGCTGTCCTGCAGACCGGATGCACTACTGTTCCAGTCTCTCCCCTGGCAGCTGTACTGAACTCCAAGGGGAAAGAAAGGTCCTGAATCCGCAGGATTTTTACACTATAAGGCCATGGGACCCTCACAAGGTCTACTTCCAAATAAAAACTTTAAACTGTAAAATAGAAGCTTATTAACAGGAAACTGAGTGTGGTGGTACAGGTATCCCAGAACTGGGAGGTGGAGGCAGGAGGATTCAAGGAGTTCAAGGTCATCCTTGGCTACATAGTGAGTTTGAGGCCAGCCTGGGCTACTTGAAACTTTGTCTCAAAAAAAAAAAATTACATAGGACTGGAGATGTGGCTTAATTGACAGAGTATTTGCCTAGCATGCGCAAAGCCCCAGGTTCAAGTCTCAGCACTGCATAAACAAAGGGTGGTACCACAAGCCTCTTATCCAAGCACTTGTGGGACTAAGGAGGATCAGGAGTTTGAGGCCAGCCTGCTACATAGTGAATTTGAGGCCAGCTTGTGCTACATGTGATCCAATCTCAAGAGTAATGAACAGGGTCTCTAGACAAGTGTTCTAGACCAGAAGAACCAGGATAGGACATTTTTGGAAATGAAGAGGGTGGTAGCCAGCTCCTACACAGGCTGCCCACGGGGGCAGCTGAGGGTCCTTGCAGGAGGCAGCTGGGACCCTTTGCTTGGCTTTAATGGGGTACTGGGGCTGGGCAGATAGAGCCACGACTTCCTGGCAGGAACCAAGGAGTTGAGGAGTAGGAATGTTTGGAGCTCTGAGAAGGGCCATTTTGGGGTGAGCTCTAAAAGGGGTACAGCTGGGCATGGTGGTGCACGCCTTTAATCCCAGCACTTAGAGGCAGAGGCAGGCGGATCTCTGTGAATTCAAGGCCAGCCTGGTCTACATAGTGAGTTCCAGGACAGCTGGGGCTACAGGGAGACCCTGTCTCAAAAAGACCTAAATAAATAAATAAGTAAATAAGTAAATAAATAAATAAATAAATAAATAAATGGGATACAGAGTGGAGACACAGGGTGCTTATTACTTTGGGGAAGGTGATTGGAGTCTGCAGGACCCCCAGCTGAGGTGGCTCTTCTGGGAAAAGCTAGTTACAGCAGAACTAGCCTCAGCCAGGCCTGTGAACCCAGGTGCAAGGTGAGGCTGGGTTTGTGCTGATCTATCTGTGAGGACAGAGGGTCTCCTGAGATAGGGAAAGGCCCACAGCCCTGACGGAGGTCAGCTCATGCCAACTTCCAGCCACCTGTTCCAAACCTACACACATTCCCTGACATGGAGGCAGGACCGGAAACACATAGTAATCCTTCCAGGCTGACCCTGGAGGGAGGCAGTAGCCTGGAGGGAGAGGTGGGAGTGGACACAGCCATTCTCCAGACCAGCCACAGAATGCTCTGTGCAATCTCTGTGCTCAAAAGAGATGTTTATGCAGCCTTGGAGCCTAATAAAGGATTCTGGAACTGGTACCCTGCCTGCTCTGTCCGCTCAAAGGCTGACTGCATGGGCTTGCTTGCACTGGTGACTGAATCTTTTGCTTCCCCCACTCAGCCTGAGCCACATTGGCACCCAGTCCCCTTGGCAATGAAGGCTTCTTCCTCACCTCAAGGCACCAAAGGGTGATGGAGACCAGCAACTGCAAGGGAACATCTTAATCATCTTTATCACACACCCCCACCATGGCACCTCCCATAGCCCACCCCTCCCCACTTGGAATTCATGTATTCTGTCATTTGTGTTAAGGTCTATAGAGTCAAGTTAGTGTTCCCAGACGTCCCTCAGTGCAAGGTCATCCACTGAGGTCTAGTCAGCCTATCTAGAGTCCCTCCCTTTAAGAAGATCAGCTCTTCCTCACCCAGCAGTAATCAGCTACCAATAATTCTTCAACTAAGATTGGGACCTGCTGCCTGTTTCCACAGTTCTGTGCTGGGCTTTTGTCTGCTTGAGTTTGCATGGGTCTTGCACGTGCTGACACCATTGCTGTAGGCTCATATGAGAAGAGTCCCAGGAGCCTGTAGGACTCTATTTGCATATGGTTGGGCACCTCCTTCCTGGCTCTTACAGTCTTTCTGCCCCCTCTTCCGCAATGGTCACTGAGTCCTGGGTGAGTGGAGTTTAATATAGGCATCCTGTCCAAGGAGCCACGCTGTGTGGACTCTTATTCTCCATATTTTGGCCATTTGTGTCCTTTTTGTCCATGACCCTTTGTTACATGAGGGAACTTCGTTGATGAGAACTGAGAGATACATTAGTGGTCTCTTTACCCCTGTTCTATGTTCCATAGAGGTTGAATTGTGGCTGAGTCACTTAGACTTGGACAATTCACAGACTTGTGGAACTCTGTAATAATCACTGTCTGTTGCAAAAGAAGCTTCTTTGATGAGTGGTGACTGGGATACTTGTCTGTAATATAAGGATCCATATTTTGCACATAGTAAGAAACTACATTTATCTAGGGATATGACAGTCTGGGGTTTTCTCTAAGATCTAAGTATGACCTCTCCAGTTACGTGTATTTGGCTAGGTTTACAGTATCACAAGAGTTTCCTCCCATTGAGTGGGCTTTAAGTCCAATTAGGTAGCTGTTGATTACCCCCAAGATAAAAGTGTCACTACTGCACCAATGTTGTTTGCTGTGCTGGTCATTGATGTGGTTTTAAGGCCTTGAAGATGGGGTTGGACCATTGATTGATGTTCTCCCTTACCAGCTTGCATAGTGCTCTCCAAAGCTATGAGAGACAGTCTTCAGAGAAGGTGGTTTCCATCTCCATTGCTCCACATTCTGTGTCCAAAGTATGTTCTGCTCCAAATCCAAAGTATGTCCTGTCTTCAGCAATAGGGTCTTACCTTCAAGTTCTGGGAGGCAATCGAGGGCTGTGGCAATAGCCTGTGTAATTTTGAGTCTCTTGAACTACCCTGGCCAACAACTCAAAACTCAAAGATGGGTACAAGATGGCTCAGTGGGTAAGATGGCTTACCAGATGGCTCAGTGGGTACAGGTGGCAAGATGGCTCAGTGGGTACAGGTGCTTGCTGCTAAACCTAATGACCTGAGTTTGATCCCCAGGACCCACATGGTGGAAGGAGAGAATTGAATCCCACCTGCAAGCTGTCCTCTAACCTCCACATAAGGGAAAAGGGACAAGGCACACACACATTCATATTCTCTCTCTCCCTCCCCCCCCCCGCCTCCACCTTCT